ATTATGTCAGCAGAATGTTATCTCTGAATGGAATATATCTTTCCAGTGAAACACAGTTTGTGAGATTAAAAGTACTCTTGGCCGGGCGCAGTGGTGCACGCCTGTAATCCCAGTACTTTGGGAGGCTGAGGCAGGCGAATCACAAGGTCAGGAGTTCGAGACCAGCCTGGCCAACATGGTGAAAGCCTGTCTCTACTAAAAAAAAATACAAAAATTAGCCCAGGCATGATGGTGTGTGCCTGTAATCCCAGCTACTTGGGAGGCTGAGGCAGGAGAATTGTTTGAACCCGGGAGTCAGAGGTTGCAGTGAGCCAAGGTCGCACCATTGCATTCCAGCCTGGGTGTCTCAAAAAAAGAAAAGAAAAGAAAAGTACTCTTGTGCAGATTGTTAAAGTTGTGGGGTTCCTTTCCTACTGCACACCATCTGTTGCATTTAACCCTAATAGATTTTTTTTCCCCCAGAAGGACCCATGTGAGTAGAGAGCACTTAGTAACTATTTTTGATACACTTAAACTTACTGTAAATTCAATTTAGCTGTATGTCTAAAGTAGTATTTGTAAAACCCTTTCAAGAGTTTCTGAATTAAAGGATGCCTCTTAAGATTCCTTGAGCCTGGGTAGCCGACTTTGCAGTGAACCAGGATTGCACCACTGCTCTTCAGCCTGGGGGAGAGAGTGAGAACCTGTCTCCAAAAAAAAAAAGCCTCTTAAGGCTAACTTGTATACAAATAACTAATGATAAATACACCACATACTACTAACATGATAATTTTAAAAATAGATGTTTTCTAGTGTAGTATGTCCACAAACCCTTGTAGAAGAGATGTTTTCCTAAGCTTTGCAAAAGGGGTGTAATAAACCAGACTTCTGTCATTTGAATACTTTTATCCATTGATTTGCATTATAAAATGAACAACTTCTTTCCTTAGGAAAAATTTTGTCCAGAAAACCAACTTGAGTTGTTTTTGGGAGAAAGTTCTTAAGAAACAAATAGATGAGTTGTTTAGCATTCTGAGTGTCAAAAGTATGTAGGACATTACCCATCCCTCCTGGGATGATTTTAGTTCCCATAAAGCAGTTTATTTTTCCTTTGCAGTGTTTCTCTGAAATTGGTTTTTCCAGTTTGGTCAGTCCTCACTTCTTTGTTCTTTATGAACTTCTGTCATATCAAAAGTTTCCTTAATTCTGCTTTTAGAACTCTAGAAGTTATCTTTTTCATTTGTTCTGGATATTTAAGAGAGATTTTAACTTCATTCTTATGCCACACCAGGAGGTGGCACTGGTGACACAAAATTTTTTGACCTATAAAGTACAGAGTTAAGATTACATAAATTTATTTCTAAAGTTAGCTCCTTATGCCATAAATACCATATTTTTAGATTAACCTAATAGGAGGACACTATTTTTAACAGACATGTGTTGATAGAAAAGAGACAGTAACTAACATTAATTTCTGTATGTGGAATATCCTTTTTAGCTTAGAGAACTAAGCTTTAGTTCCACTTTTGTTAGTGGCTTTTCCTCTGATTGATGATAAGCTAGCTAAATAATCATGGAGCTTATGCACTTATCCCATTTTTAAAGGAAGTATAGGCATTGTGCCTATTTGCATTAGAAACTTGGGGTTGATTTTTTTTCATATAGAATTCTTCAGTGAAGCTCTTGTTCTATTTCAGAATGTTACAAAAGAAAGACAGATGAAGTTACTACAGCAGCAGAATGACATCACAGGCCTTTCCCGGCAGGTGAAGCATGTTATGAACTTCACAAATTGGGCAATTGCAAGTGGCAGCAGCACAGCACTACTGTACAGCAAGCGACTGGTGAGACACACACTATTTTTCTTTAATGGATTTTATTAAGAGATTATTTATATTCAGTGAACTGCTCCTGTTTAAAATATACATTTTAATTTTGGCAGATGTACCACCACCACATCAAGATACAGAAAACTTCCGTCACCCCCCAAAGTTTCCTTGTTCCCCTAGGCAGCCACTAATCTGGTTTCTATCATTTTTTAGAATTTCATATAAGTGGAATTATCTAATATGTACTCTTTTGAAGATACCTAGTATCTTAATGAAATTTATTACACGAAATGGCAAAAATTCAAGCATGTACATTTGATTTGATTGCTAACTTAAATATTGACACTGCCTAATCTGAGGCTGACATTGTGAGAATATATGTGCTTTTTTTCTTAATGTCTTTATCTTATGTTTTCCCAATTGATATTTAATTTTGAGACTAATGTGGATATTTTTCCCTTTAAGATTACTTTTCAGTTGCGTCATATTTTGAAAGCACGGTGTGATCCTGTCCCTGCTGCTAATGGAGCAATACGTTTCCATTGTGATCCCACCTTCTGGGCAAAGAATGTAGTCAATTTAGGTGAGAAATAATGGGTTTTATGAATATAACTTGGAACACCGAATTAGGAGGAGAAGACATCTCAAGCAAATTTAGATAAAATTTTTAACTTTAAAATGTAAAACTACTTAGAAAGTATGTTATTCATTGGAAACTCACTTTAGCTGTGGTTTTGTATGGCTGTCATTACATCTTAAGAAAGTTGAGAGTTTACCCTGTATATTGTTTTTTAATGTGTAGTGTTCCTAGACCCTGGACCCTCCATCTTTTAAATTTATATTGACTGTTTTATATAGAAATTTTAGCAAATGGTTCATTGTCTGGAGAATTTCATAGATGTTTAGTTGTTTAAGCTGTGTTGTGCATTAGCGGCGGACTTTTGGGATGCTGATGTGTCCAATAGTTATGTCGTAAGGAATGTTTGAAAGATAAGAATAGCTCTTCACATGGAAGAGAAATGGATTTTGCTTTTATTACAGCATAGTAGAGAGCTAAAGACCGTAGGTGAAAGTTACAGAGAGCTCAATTAAAACACATACACACAAACTTCCTAGCAATTAGAGAGCTATCTGCAGATTGAGCAAACTCATTTTCAGAACAGTTAAGTCCTAAACAGTGGGAATTATAAAAACAGAGGCTAGTTGGCCTCCTGTTTACAAAAAAAAAAAACAAAAAAAAAAAAACCAAAAAAAAAAAAAATGTAATCTTTGTATAAAAGAAAAACATTATATTCAAATTTAGCTATAGCCTTAGTTCTGGCATCAGCCACCTGTTTTTGTGTGACATCGTAGCTAAGAATGGTTTTTACATTTTCCACTGGTTGTAAAAACAAACAAAAACCAAGGACTGTGAGACAGAGTTTATGTAGCCTGTCAAGCATAAAATATTTACACTATGGCCCATTACAGGGAAAGCCTGTCAATGTGTCCCTTAAATCACATCTTCCTAAAATTTGGTTTCTATCCCTAGAAAACAGTGGCTTTGTAAAAAGCAAGGAAAACCATCACTTCTAAGGATATAAATTGTTTAAAGCATTCAGTATTTCCACAGAAGACGATTTTGTGGCATCGTAATGCTCTGTCTTGCACATTTTGGCAATTCAAAGGCAAATGGAATCAGCATTAGCAATCTTGAGTACCCTTCAATAAGTCTTGTCATGGGACAATTGATTTAGATTGATTAGACAGGCCTCATCTAATACCTCTTAATAATCTCTTAATTTTCTGTACATCTGTGTAAAAAAGAGTAAGGACAGAAAATATATTTTTCTGAATAACCAAAAGTCATTTATTCAGCTTTGGAATGTATTAAGTTTCTGATCATCATCATCTTTAAACGGACTCCATTTCCTGCTGTACTGTTGGAGCTTTGAGGTGTTGATAGTTGTCAGAGAAAAGAGGAAAACATGGTGATTACTCAGCAAAATAGATGATTTAGTTGATTATATGCAAATTCTTCTCATGTTTTAAATTTTTCAGGTAATCTAGTAATAGAGAGTAAACCAGCTCCTGGTTATACTCCTAATGTTGTAGTTGGGCAAGTTCCTCCAGGGACAAACCACATTAGTAAAACCCCTGGACAGATAAACTTAGCACAGCTTCGACTTCAGCACATGCAACAACAAGTGTATGCACAGAAACATCAGCAGTTACAACAGATGAGGTTGCAGCAACCACCAGCACCTGTACCTACTACAACAACAACAACACAACAGCATCCTAGACAAGCAGCCCCTCAGATGTTACAACAACAGGTAAGTATGCGTTACTGCATTATTGATAGAAATTATAAAGCTCCCAGCAGTATACTTTTTTCCATATTAGATAAGTTACACATTTCAAGGTTACTAGCAGGACTTTGAGCAGAGCTCAAACGTCAGCATTTAAATATTTTCTCTGGTTATGATGGTGATGTAACGGAGGTGTGAAGAAAGGAAGTAAGTAAATAACTTGTCTTGGGAAACAATTAATTAACTAGTACTCTGGAAGGATGTCACTTCTCATCCTTTCACATCAGATCTTTTTTGTTTTCCACTTACAATTGTGTGGACCAAAGGACCAGATTGTTTCTGCCTAGGATCTGATGTGTTCCTTAGGCGTTTGTTCAAGTCATTCCTATCCCTGGGTATCTTTTGCTCTCTCCACTGCCATCCCAATTAAAACTATTACTCCAGAATGGGATAAGTTAATGTTGATATGCTTTAAATACACATACAGAGAAAAAGAGAGGGAGCGGGAAAGAGAGAGAAAAGGGAAATTTGGGAGTGATACACAAACTAGTCATTAGCAGTCCTCTGGGGACTGGGGCTAGCGATAAGAATTATTTATACTTTTTACTTGATACTCTTTTATCTTGACTCAATTATTTTTATAATTGAAAGATAAATTTATTTTAAAATTATTACATAAATTGCAATTTCTACTTTTTGTAGCCTCCTCGATTGATCAGTGTGCAAACAATGCAAAGAGGCAACATGAACTGTGGAGCTTTTCAAGCCCATCAAATGAGACTGGCTCAGAACGCTGCCAGAATACCAGGGATACCCAGGCACAGCGGCCCTCAGTATTCCATGATGCAGCCACACCTCCAAAGACAAGTATGCCTAGAGTTACATTTGTAAGAATCCTACAATTTTAAAACTAAAAGACACCATTTTTCTTAAGCACTTTTTGGGAGCAGGTCATTGATATGTTTGAGAATTTGATTAATGCTATTTATCTTCTTGTCCCAGAAAAGTAAACATACACATAAGATTTTGTATTTAATTTAAAGAGCTTTTTAAAATCCCTTTGAGTGCATCATATACTATGGCTTAATAAACCCTGATGTAGTTAACGCATTCAGTTTACAGAAGTGAAAAGCAAATCTAATGAGCTGATGATTTTACCTACAATCACAAGAGGTAATGATAAAATAGCAAGAAACTTAGTTTCCTGAAAATGCTCCTCTGCTCTATTAATGTGACTTTTGATCCTAATATATAAAAAGGGCTTTGAGAGTAGTAGAGCTAACTATATACATACATATATATATATATATATATATGTATATATATATATGTATATTTTACCTTTAATAGTGTTCATTTTAGGATGTAAATGCTCTTTAATAAGTGTATTTAGAGACATGTTTTATAATTTTTGCCCAAATAGTAAGTTATATTTATGTGGGAGATGAATTTATAAGTGAGGTTACTTTTTAATAGAATTTCTAGTTACAAGATAATAGAGGTTTGTTTGTTTTTTTTTTTTAACTCTTAGAATTATGTTTCTTAAAACATGTTCTAAAGACCATGAGAATTACCAGTCAGCTTGGGTGGGTTAGGGACCTTGTCAGAATAGATTCCTAGCCATAATCACTGAATCAGAGTTTCTTCGAGGGAAGTATTCAGTAATATTTAAATTTGTACGAAGTCTCTCAGGTCAATCTGCATACTAAAGTTGGATAAATGCTGTCCTTTAACAGTGGTCCTTCAGCTTTTTGGTCCATGTACCCCTAGAAAGTGCTTTTTAAAATACACGCGTCTTGGCTGGGAGTGGTGGCTCATGCCTATAATCCCAGCTCTTTGGGAGGCCTAGGCAGGAGGGTTGCTTGAGCCCAGGAGTTCGAGACCAGCCTGGGCAACATAGTAAGACCGTGCTTCTGTTTAAAAAAAAAAAGAAAAGAGAGAGAAAGAGACAGAAATAGAGAGAGAGAGAGAAAGAAAGAAAAATATATACTCTTTCACCTTGAAGACTTTCATTTAAAATTTCTATTATAGGTTTAAGTTTAAATAGTTTGAAAAACTATACTTTATAGCATATAATAAATATTGATGGTATAAAGTTAAAAAACCTCTACATTATTTAAGATGAATTCACCAGAATTCCAAATACCCTAGCAGGCTCTCCTTGGACTTGATTTTCACTTCTACTTCCTCAACAGTTTAATCTTACTGTAATACAATTTTGTTTGATAGATATTGATTAGCCTATTGTAATTTTCTCCCGGAAAAAATGTTTATTGTAATAAATTGTTAAATTTCCCGTGACAATAAGGTTATCATTAAGCTTTGAAACTTTTTCTGTGGACCACATTAACATTATATTATACAATTGTTGAAACAAAATGCGTGTATTTACATGGTTTAAGAATATTAGAAGATACAAAAGTCTTTTGGATATACATTTCTTTGAGCTAGATGGAGACTTTTTACCTCCTGCTTTTGGTTATGTATGTTTGTATGCTGTTACTTATTTTTAAAATAAGTCAGAATTCGACATTGGTTTTTATTACTAGTTTTTTTTGGATTTGTTTTTATGTAATGTTCAGGAAACTTGTTTACAAAATTACATATTTGGGAATTAAAATAATTTTATTATAGTAATATCCTTCAATTCTTTGAATTTTTTTCTATATTATAAGCTGAGAAAACAATCTATCATAACTATTTAAAAATTTAATCAGTGACAACTTCCTCAGGTTCTCATTTTTGTTAAACATCAGATACTTGAACCCATTTGAAGATTTGTTACCCAGGTTTTGGAGTCAGACACCCAACATCATTCTTTCCAATTTTACTGTTAATTATTTCTGCAGCTTTTTTTCCTTCCTGGTGCAGTGTTCCTAGAATAAGATTTTAGGAATGGTCAAAGGGGTGGTGTTCTTTTGTCAAGGGCAGGGGAAGGGCAGTTGTGAAAGTGGTGGAAAAGAAGATCCAACAAACAGAGCATGGCACATTCTCAGGCAAATCAGATTTTTTTTTCTTTTTAAAGAGTACATGCAAAAGGTTGAGGATCTGAACATTTATTGCCTTCACTCTCTTCCCATAATCATGTATCTCTTAGTTCATGGAAGGCCCTCAAGTATTTCCAGGGGCCAAGTACACCTTGTCAGAGCACAGAAGCTACACAATCAGACTAATGAATCATCTCAGAACATTTTCCTTAGACTTTGGGTATACCCCTACAGAGATCACTTAATGTTATTAGGCATTTTTAGTTTTTAAATACTTCAAATAATTTATTTATATATGTATAATTTGTTTTCTAAAGATTTTTTTTTTGTATTATCTTAAATGATTCTCATGACAGCCTTCACAGTGAAACAAGTGAGGTATTGTCATCCACATTTCTAAATGACTGAGATTATGTGGTTTGTCTAAGGTCACACAGTATTAGAGTCAGGACTTGATGCCATTTTTCGTTTCTGTAAATTCATTGTTCTTTCTGCCACATCAAGCTGCATTACATAATTGTTTTTATTAGAAAAATGACTAAGGGTGGAAGAGGAATATAGACATAATCTTACCCTGATGTTTGAAAACATGGAGGCTTACAGATCCTCTGTTACATACTTTCTTGTTCTGAAATAGCATCATATCACCAGGCTGACATGGTTGGGAAATTGTTGGCAAGTCTGTCTTTCCCTAGATACTACACAAAAATGAATAGAAAAATGAAAAAGCTAAGTTTGAACTGTTCTCCTGAATAAGTTTGAAAAAGCCCATTTTGTTTCTTCTGTTTCCTTCCTAAACTAAAAATTGTAAAGGTGTAGTTTATATTCAGCTATTCTGGCAGATCAAGTAATGACAGCGTCTTCTTTCTTATTAGCACTCAAACCCAGGGCATGCTGGACCCTTTCCCGTAGTATCGGTACACAACACCACAATCAACCCAACGAGCCCTACTACAGCAACTATGGCAAATGCAAACCGAGGTCCCACCAGCCCATCTGTTACAGCAATAGAGCTAATTCCCTCAGTTACCAATCCAGAAAACCTTCCATCGCTGCCAGATATTCCACCCATACAGGTTTGTATTTATTGAATGAAGCTTCATTAAACTTAATGTTAATTAGAGAGTTAGAGTATTTATTTTATTTCAGGTATTTTTTTAAAATTCAGAATCAACATTTCCTAGAAATTTCTAAAGTGTAGAGTTTGAATCACTAAAAGTCTCCAGTCTAAGTGAAACTTTGTACTTTTCGTCAACATCCTCTCTTTCCCCATTCCCCAACCACCTTCTCCTCAAGCCTCCGGTTAACCACCTTTCTATTCTCTGTTTCTGTGAGATGGACATTTTTAGTTTCCACATGTAAGTGAGATTAGTCAGTATTTGTCTTTCTCTGCCTGGCTTATTATACACAGCATAATGTCCTTTGGTTCCATTCATGTTGTTGCAAGATGACAGAATTGCCTTCTTTTTAGAGGCTATATGATATATTCCATTGTATATGTATACCACATTTTAAAAAATCCATTCACCCATTGATGGACACTTAGATTGCTTACATATCTTGGCTATTGTGAATAATGCTGAAGTGAACATGGGAGTGCAGATAATTTCTCTGATGTACCAATTTCAGTTCTTTTGGATATAAATTTTAGTGATCTCTTACGTTTCACGGTAACCACAGTTGACTGATAGTGTGTTATATATTTAAAAATTGCTAAAATGGATTTTTAATATTCTCACCACAAAAAAATGATGGGTTAGTGGGGTTAGATATCATCATTAGCTTGATTCAGTCTTTCTGTAACACAGATCAGAACATTACATTGTACACCATAAGTGGACATAATTGTTATTTTTCAGTTAAACAAAGTTAAATCTAAATATTTGAGCCTTGAAAAGTTTGTTTGCTAAAACTAGCATTTCTCAATATTTTAAAGTTCTGGAGAATTGAATATCATATGAATAGCAAACTATAGGACCGTCTAAACAGAAGTACAATAATGGTAGATTAATATCACCTTTGCTAAAAGGCTAGTTCCTCCCTTTCTACCACCTGCCACAGGCAAACATTGTGTCAGATGATGCACTCCTGAAGCCAGAGAGAAGACCCAGGTCCAACATGTGGTTAGATCTTTGTTGTTTTTCTGTTAGGTCCAAAAGGGGTAGTCAGTTGGGAAAAGGATGGGGTTGGAAGGCCAAGACGTTAGATACTTTGAGACTTCTATTGAGAGGGGAAATGATGGAGAAGAGGAATGGATGGAATGTGAAGGACCTTTGAGTGAAGCCTTTTGCCCCTTTCAACTGAAGACAAGTATCCTTTGGATCCTTCTGAAATTTTAGCAATTTGTTTCAGTTAAAAGCATTTTTTTAATGTAAATATAATCTGCCAGCGTTATACTGAATTATTTTATGCATTGTATGAGTTACTTTCATATCTTGGAGTCCAGGGTCACCATAGGAACAAGGAGCAATGAAACTGTTTTGACGGTAGCACCCATGATTGTTTCTATGGCTGCAGTTCAATGTTTTGTTTTAGTGGGTTTTAATGGGCTTATGTAAGAGTTTTAAAGATATTTCTATAGCTTCAAACTTTTTAAAAAATTTTATTTAAAGTTAGTTTTGTGTATATTTAAGGTAACAACATGATGTTATACACACATAGAGTAAATTGGTTACTATGGTGAAACAAATTAACATATCCATCATCTCACATAATTACCCATCCCCTTGCTCCTATAAGAGCAGCTGTAATTTACTCATTTAGCAAAAATTCTGAATACAATGCACTATTATTAACAAAATTATTCAGAAAATCACTAACATACTGTGAATTCTCTTAATCTGATTGCTTCCCTAATGTTAGGAGAACCCTTTTTTGGCTGAGGAAATGGTAGTTTTGTTGATGATGAGATTATATAGAATGGAAAGTTTTATAATATAAATTAAAAAGTAACATTTCTAAGTTAAGAGCTTGTATTTTGCGAAGACTTTCACAGGCGGTATGTAAGTTTAATACTTAAAATCACCTGATATGTAATGTCCCTATTTTATGGATAACAGTAAGAGAGGTTAGTATAACTGCCTGACAGGTTTATTGGGCTCACTGCACAAACAAAATCAATTCAGAGACCATGGCATTGCAGTAAAGAAAGAGTTTAACTGACACGAGGCCACTCACACCACACAGGAGATGGAGTTATTACTCAAATCAATCTCTTTGAAGGCTTGTGGTTTAGAGGGGTTTTTTTGTTTGCTTATTTGTTTTGAGATGAGGTCTAGCTCTGTCACCCACGATCTTGACTCACTGCAACCTCCACCTCCCAGACTCAAGCAATTCTCCTGCAGCCTCCTGAGTAGCCGGGATTACAAGCGCACGGTACCACGCCTGGCTAATTTTTGTATTTTAGTAGAGACAAGGTTTCACCATGTTGTCCAGGTTGGTCTCAAACTTCAGACTTCAGGTGATCACCTTCCTCAGCCTCCCAAAGTGCTGGGATTACAGGTGTGAGCCACCATGCCTGGCAGTTTAGGGGTTTTTCAAAGGTAGTTTGGAGGAAGGGGTGGGGGGCAGCTAGGCAATGGGTGCTTGCTGCTGATTGGCTGGGGGATGCAGTCATATGGGTGTGGGAAATGATCCCCCTTACTTGCTGAATCACTTTTGGGTGGGGCCACAGGAGTGCTCGTTGGGTCCAGCTGGAGCCATCGTCTCTGTCAGACATGTGAGAAACCTCAAAAAATATCTTAGGTTCAGCAATAGTGATTGTCAACTGCAGGAGTAATTGAGGAAGTTATCTGTCTTATGACCTCCAGGATAATGACTGGCAGTCCTTTATGTCAACACCTTAGCAGAATTCAGCCTCCTTTCCTCCTCCTCATCTGGTGGTATCTCCTTAACTTTACAAAGGCAGTGGAGTTTTGGGGAAGGGCTATCATTATGTAAACTAGAAACTGAATGTCTTCCTAAATCAGCTTGTCTCAAGCCCAGGAATCATTAGTGTCAGCATGAAGGCTAAAGGCAAGATAGAGGGAGGCTTGTTAGATCAGATCTTCCTGACTCTTTCACTGATACAATTTTTGCAAAGGCAGTCATACAGTTTGGCTCTGTGTCCTCACTCAAATCTCACCTCGAATTGTAATCTCCACTTGTGGAAGGAAGGACCTGGTAGGAAGTGATTGGATCATGGGGGCGGTTTCTCTCATGCTGTTCTCACAAAATGTGATGGTTTTTAAAGTGTCAGTTTCCTCTGCACGCTCTCTCTCCTGCCACCCTGTGAAGAAGGTGCCTTCTTCCCCTTTTCCTTCTGCCATGACTGTAGGTTTCCTGGGGCCTCCCCAGCCATACAGAACTGTGAGTCAATTAAACCCTCTTGTTTATAAATTAATCAACCTCAGGTAGTATCTTTATAGCAGTGTGAAAATGAACTAATGCAGGCAGTTTCATTAGCGACTTCCCTGGAGTCACATGTTAGATAGAAAAGATGGAATTTTAAGTCCAGACTACTAATCCTAAGTGCAGTTCTTTTTCCACACTGCCTGTAAAAATACCAGGGAGGTAGTTTGGGATTGTAGCCCTGGAAAGACATGGTATTGAGAGCCTTTAGGCAGCCAGAGGTATGCACAGTATAACAGTGTCATTTAGTTTTTACTAAGCACTTACTGTATGCTAAAGTACTCAAGCATTGAGAATAAAGAGATAAACAAGACTTGATTCCAGTTCTTAACCTTACAAAGGGAGAAGCAAGTATATCTACTTTTTTATTGAAATGCAATTTATATGCCATGAGATCCACTCTAAAAATGTACAATTCAGTGGTTTTTAGTACATTCACAGAATTGTACAACCATTACCACTAATTCAAGAATATTTTCATTACCTCAAAAAACAAAAAACTGTACTCATTAGCATTGACTCATATCCTCTTCCAGCCCCTGGAAACCACTAATCTACTTTGTCTCCGTGGACATCCCACATATGAATGGAGTTATATCTGGCCTTTGATGTCTGGCTTCTTTTACTTAGGTTAATGTTTTTCAGGTCTATCCATGTTTTAGCATGTATTAGGACTTCATTTTTTTATGGCTGAATAATATTTTATTGTATACATATATCACATTTGTTCATCAGTCAGTGAACATTTGCTTTTTTACTCTTTGGCTGTTAGGAATAATGCTGTTGTGAGCTTTCATGTACAAGTTCATACAAGTATGAATGTAGTATACTAGGCTGTTGTTGCGTTGCTATTTATAAAGGAAAGAGGTTTAATTGTCTAACTTCTGCCGGTTTTACAGGAAACATATTCAGGTTAAGCACATTTATGGATTATTTTTAACTATTCTTCTACTTAATTTGGCTAGATTAAGAATTCACATGGAGAAAATCTAGCATTTGCATTAATTTAAGCTGCTAAAATAGCCAAGATAGCTAAGTTTAAGATTGAAGTGTAGAAGCGAAGCCTTAAGTTTCTTTTGCCTAATAAGAAACCTTCCTCAAGGACTGAATTGTACTTTAGTGTAGATATGAGATATGGTTTGTTGGTCAAGATAGAGATGTTGTTTTACACTTGGAAAATGGTATATGCAAAGGCTTGAGGGAGTGAGAAGGCACAACCAGGAGTAGTAAGATAGAAGTGACTCAGTGTCACCATTGACCTACTAAGTCAGATGTATTAATGGTGGTCTAGTTAGGTAACTAAAAGAAATATATTAAAATGAAGAATTTTAACATTTACATTTTGGTTATGCAAGAAGGTAATAGTAGATAGTAAATGGAAAACGGAATGTTTTGTAGTATCATATTTAGTGTTTCACTTATGGACAGTACATATATCTCATTAATCAGATATAGAACATTTTTGTTTATTGATAAAATGTAGTATTTTCCTGATGATCAGTAGAATAGCACCTAAATATGGAATCCTTTTATTAGGTTCAAGGCCAAGTCTTCAATACAGCATAACACTAGAACATTTCTGGAAACATGGATCACTGTTATTAATGCACTTGTATATTTTCTTTAACAAATATTTGAGAACATGTATTAGACCCTAGTTACTGATTTTTATAAGGATCAAAGGGAA